TTGAATTAATAATCAATTTTTAGGTCTACAATAGTTTTTTTTTTCACAACTATTTCAATTACTTTTCACTTTTGTACAAAAAATAAAATCAACCCAAAATAAGAAAAGTTTGAAACAGAGAGCTATTATGTTCGCACGCTAGTACATACACAAATAATGCAGAGTTATACGGATTGACCAGTAAATACAATAGTCTTTCAAACAATAAATTAAATAAATCAACAGATAGAGAATTCGGCATTAGTTAAATTGAACTGTAATAAAAAAAATTAATATTGCAATTCAGTTCCTGCAAATAATCTAATTCTCATAATCAAGCAACACAATTTTTCCCCAAACCTCGCCGGCTTAGGCCCTTGTCGCCGACGACTTATGGCCGTCCGACTCTGATGGCCTGGTCCTCTGCTCCTCCCGAATCAGACGTGCCTCAGTTCGTGGAGAAGTTAGTGGAGTAGGGGTGAGGCGGAAATGAATAGCCGAGGGCCCGGCGGCGGAGGCCGGCGACATGTTGGAGGACTTTTAGGGCGAATACGAAGGAGGTGCCGTGCTGTCGGACCTTGTAGTTTGTGCCGCCGTTACTGTGGTCGAGGACCGGGATCCTCTCATTTCGGAGTTGGGGAAAGAGAAGGCGGGAAGAATACAAGAGTTGGAGACGGGCGGCGGTCGGAGAAGCTGAGGAGGCGGATGCCGAGGCCGAGCCGGAGGTTGATGAGGAGGAGGTTGAGGACGACGGCAATGGCAGATCTATTACCCTGCGTGTGTGCGTGTATAAGAGAGAGAGAGAGAGAGAGAGAGAGAGAGAGATTGGGGGACATAATTAATTGGACTGTTGGTGCGTGGGACCCATTGATGTAGTGAATGATTATTGCCAAAATGTCCATATTACTCTTAATGATGTTATAATTCCATCTGTTTTATCAACCCCTAGATTGTTCGATCTAATGGCTGATGTTTATACTTATTTCTTTCTTTAAGCATCATTCTCATGTGAACCCAACCCTATATATATATATATATATATATAGGGATGCGCTCCGGTGAGATGGTTCTCAATGAAAGAAATAAGAATACATATTGATCATTCGATTGACTGATCGGACGGATAAAAAAACTCAACATTCATAAATTCAATATGGACAGTAAAGTAATTTCAGCACGCAATCCAATCTTCCAAACCACCCACATGTGGGTCCACTCCACTTAACAAGTCTATCTCAATCTATCAATCACACGTATCTCTCATCTCACCTCACCTCTCTCTCTCTCTCTCTCTCCTCACCTCTCTCCCTCTCACACAATGACACAAACACACACACCTCCGCACACATTTACACGCACAAATGTGTTTCATCCGCATCCATCGTCGGTCCGGCCGCTCGCCACTGTCAGAATCGACATTGTCGCCGTCACCTTCCTCCGCTGCCGCCAAACTGTTTCTTCCCCGGCCACCAGCGCGTTCCCTTCAGCCGCTCCGGAGATTGACGCCGATGTACCATGGCTCAACAAGAGAACGGTTGTTGTTCACGAACTCAGCCCCGACGAATTCAGCAACGGAATAAATTGGTCCAGGCGAAATTAATTGGCCGTTGTGCTCGGTCCTTTTGTGCCTAATTCCGTCCACGTTCGGACAATTGAAGGCGAGATTGGAGCTCGACCGTCCCCAACAATTCCGTCCAAATACATCGACTGCGGCCGAGACGACGGCGGCCGGCGAGGATATGATAACGCAGAGAGCAGCGGTCGGTGAAGCTCCGGCACAGGACATCAACCGACGGGAAATTTAGGGGGCATGCTTCTGAAAATTGGATAATGTTTAGGGTCACAATTGCCAATTCAAAAAATTTAATTACATTACAATTTAACACATGAGCCAAATATGCAATTTATAAAAAGTTATAAAAAAATATTATTTTTTATATTGTTTTATATACACCTATATATAATATATATTTCCAACTAAAAATGACATAAACTATTAGATACAAGTATTAAAATAATAAAATATAATTTTATAATATAAATTATAATTATTTCAATTATTAAGTTAATTAAGTTAACTAATCGAATTGATTATCTTGTTCGATTTTAGTTTAGATTTGCATATAAAAAAATACGCGTAAAAAGTACCAGCAACACAGAATGCATAATAGTGATAAACAAGATGCATATTAGTCACTGTGCGAATGCACAATAGTGATATACCAAACACACATTGAATTCTACAACAATTTCTACAACAATGAAAACAAGCGGTGTATGCTAGTGTGATTTTTCACATAATATTAAAATTTTGGTCCTTTTTTTAAAAAGAAAAAAAAAAGAAATTGGAATATCATAATTGATCGAACTATAAAAAAAATATAATTTTCATATTTTTAAATACATATATTATTTATTTTTGACATACGATAATATAAATTATTAAATAAAAATCAAAAAAGGAAACCTTCTCTTATGTTATTGAATCAGTCAAAGCAAAACTGGGGAGCTGGAAAAACAAGATGTTAACTACAACAGGGAAAGAAATTCTAATTAAAGCTGTCATTGATTCCCTGCCAGTGTTTACAATGTCTTGCTTTCAGTTGTCTATCTCCATCTGCAAAGCTATCTCTAGTCTTAGTGCTCAGTTCTGGTGGAGTAAAGGGAAAATTCAAGAGAAAGGTGAATTTGGAAGGCCTGGAAATATATTACACTTCCTAAGGCAGGTGGTGGAATGGGAATCAAGACAGTGAGACTCTTCAATCAATTTCTTATCTGCAAACAGTTATGGAGGCTGGTTACTGAACCTGATCTTCTCATCTCAAAGGTGTTGAAGGCTAGATACTTTCCTGACTGCAGTATTTTTGATGTGACTAAAACACAAAAAGGCTCTTGGCTTTGGCACACCTGGATAGACTGCTTACCAATTCTTGCAAAAGGATTGAGGACAGAGATTAGAAATGGTGCCCACACTAAAATCGAAGACTTCAACTGGATTCCTTCTCTCCAAGCTCAAAGACCAAATTTGCTGAACATCACCTGGGTGAAGGAGCTTATGCTGGACAATGGGTCAGGGTGGAACACATGGCTGGTACAACAATTCTTTAGCCCAGCAGAAAGCCAAGCAATTCTCAAAATACAAACCCTCAATCCAAGACAGAATGACAGATTTTATTGGGCCCTAGATAAGAAAGGTCAGTTCTCTGTCTCCTCTACCTATTCATATCTTATCAAGCACCAGCTACTGTCACTTGATATCCCTGGCACTAGCATGGACATATCAGCAAGTAAAGCAGCAAGACTTAGAGGATGGGGTTTGAAGGTTAAAGGCACTATTAAGCAGTACATATGGAGGTGCTACTCTGGGTTGCTGCCAGTATGTACAAATTTGCATAAGAGGGCTTCAGGTGGATACTTTATGTCCTTGCTGTGGTGAAGTACCAGAGACCATTGAGCATGTGCTGTTTCTCTGTCAGAGGGCTCAAACACTATGGAAAACAGGACCTATAAACTGGGATATGGCTAGCATGGAGAATTGTTCCTTCAAGGCTTGGTGGTGGGATATTTGCTCAATAGATACAAATCCAGTTGCCGAGGAAAGAATTCAGCTATCTACATATCTATTATGGTGGCTCTGAAAATCTTGTAACCTTTGGCTATTCGAGAAGACACTTATGCCTATCCCGGTTGTGATCAAGATGGCTCATAGAGAATGGCTTGAATTTTCCAATCTGCAGACTTGATGTAGCTTTCTGTTTTTAGTTGCTTTGTTGTTTGTTTGTTTTTTTGGTCTTTTAGTCTTAGTAGTGAAGTTAGCTATATTGCTAGGCAGTTGATGCAGTGGTTAATATGGATTTCTTCGAATGTACATTGTTTTGACTGTTTGAGTTCTAGGCCGCTTGTATGCGTGTCCTCCCAGTCTTTTATTCAGGCTTTGTGTCTTTGTCTATGTCGATGTATTCGAACATTGTTCGCTTTCTGAGATTATAATACCTCTACCGTTTCGATAAAAAAAAATAAATAAATAAAAAATAAAAATCAACATTACTAAGTATATTTTTACTATATAAACAATTTGATATTTAGAAAAATAATGTTAATTGAAAACACATTATTGACTTTCCTAAATTTGAAATGCACATAAAAGTATTTCTGATCAATAGACTGCACAATAATGTTACAGGAAAGGCACATTAATATCTGCGAGGATGCACTTTATTTATTTCAAAATGTTATTATTATGTCGTTTCAACTAAAAATAATATATAAAAAAATTAAATATATTTTTGTATTATTACAAAATCAATCGCTTCTACTATTTATAGTATTTTGGTTATCCGATCCAATAAATCTATTATTTCAGTTCTTAATTAATTTGGAGTGGGACAAATTATTAAAGAAATGTATTTATATTGTGAGTGCACAATAGTGTCAGACTAATTGAATATTAATGACTATTAGATTGCACGATAGCAACCAAAGCCAAACGAACTAAATTTTTCGATTGAATTTTTATATATTCGAATTCGATTATTTTTTTTTTACGTTTAAAATGTCGGTTACTTTGGTTTGCTATCGGTTTTTTTTTCTGTTTAAATTATACACTTTTAAAAATTTGGTTTGATATCGTTTTTCTTTTCTCTCTCTTTTTTTGTTTTGTTTAAATTATGCAATTTTAAATTTGTAAACGACGAAATATAATTTCGTAATAAAATATTAAGTGATTTTTTATTGTGCATATTCTCGGACAATATTCTGCATTTTATTCAGTATTATTGTGCATTTATTTAGCTTTCATTATATTACATATTATCCTAAGTATTAAATTGCAAGTATATTAAAGATTGAAAATTGCATATGAGTCCTTTGAACATGTCTAATTTCCAAAGCATGACCCAACACAAAATCTGTACAAATCCGTCCCCAGACAATTTCTGTACAAATCTGTACAAATCCGTCCCCAGGCTTTGATCAATTTTCGATCGCCGCCGCCTTGACGGCGGCTCTCGACTCCATCACTATTGCCGTCAACCACTGTGAATCTGCTCATCTTCACAGCGTCCGACCCCGATTCCGGCGACACCATCTCCGGTTGCAATTGTAGGTCTCGTCGCCGATCAAAGCCTGCTCATCGTCACCACATCATCATCGTTCACAGCTTCACGCCCCGCCCTGCGACCATGGAGCTCCCAGAACACGGCGAAGAGACCACCGCTGGACAAAGGCTTCGAACAACCTATCCGCCGGAAAAATCGAAAATTGATCACGACGATGTCGCGGTGGCAGAGGCGGCAAATCTCGTGGTGATTCCGGAGGCAACGGGACAGTCGGCGGCCAGATTCATGGAGATTCCGCACGTGGCTCAATGTTGGATGCAGGGACCGTCGGAGATGATGGCGGCGGCGGCGACGGGAGTGTTGGCGTGGTCTGCTCGGCGCCGCGTGTGTGTGTTTTCCGATTGTGTGTGTGTGTGTTTTGCTGGAAAATTAGTGCGTGATGTGTATGAGAGAAGGGGATGTGTAGGTGATAGTGTGTGTGAGAGAGGAGAGATGGGGTACGTGATGATTAATTAGGTTGTTTGAGGATGTTGGATGTGGGTCCCACTAAGTTGGTATTATTTATTACTACTTTACCCTTAATTATTGGTCAAATACATATATTTGACCATCATATTACTATTTATTTACTATATTGCCGTTAACGATTGACCAAGTTTGACTTGATCATGTACATTGATTGGATGAATCTAATGGTTCAGGATCATTCTTATTTCTTTCATTGTGTTTCATTCTCATTTGAGTCTATATATATATATATATATATATATATATATATATAGGGATTGGTTCCAATGCATCCCACTATTTAAAGTGAGGACGTGAGACTCATTCCTAGCCACAAGATTTAGATCTTGATTTAAATAATAATTCTTTATTTTTATTATTTAATTCTTTATTTTTAATTATTTAAATATTATTATGACCATTGACCGTTGACTCCGGCGTTGACCGTTGACTTCCAGCGTTGACTTCTGACGAAAATCGTTGACTTCCGGTGTTGACTTCTGACGTTGACCGTTGACCATTTGTCTTTTGTTATGTTATTTCTTTCATGCTAGGTTAGTTGTGTTTTGTTGCTAGGTTAGTTGTTTGTTGTTGCTAGGTTAGTTATTTGTAGCTGCTAGGTTAGTTAAGTTTTGTTGCTAGATTAGTTGTCTTAAGTTGCTAGGTTATTTTTTTCTTGCTGCTAGGTTAATTGTCTTTTGTTGCTAGGTTTTTTTTTCTTTTTTTTTTTTTAAACAAACAACGCCCCTAGGGGCGGGGGATTAGGCTGGATCCCCAACCTGTATATAGATCATAGCCCTAAAATGGGCCAAAACACTCAACATAGTCTCACAATCCAAACACTACAGTAACGAAAACAGCAACTGAAAATAGTACAAGGTCTGTCATCGGGCTAACAGGTGCCCGGAATAAGTGGATGGTCTAAGTAGAGCAAAACCAAAAACCTAATCTACTGGAATCGAAACGATGGGTATCCCAGCTGATCCATCCGAACTAACTTGCGAAGGCGGAGTGGAGCAGTGTAGGTCTGATACGTGTGCGTGTCAGGTATGGTAGCGCCAAGACTGGCAAGGTAATCAGCAGGTCTGATCCCCTCACGGAAGATGTGTGTGATCCTGTAATGGACAGACTGAAGTAGATCTCTAATGCGCATAAGCGGGTGCTGAATCTGCCACGAGCCCTGATGACCCGAGGACAGGAGGGTGACGACAGCCGCAGCGTCCAGCTCAATCCAAATATGACTAGAGAGGTCGGCAGCAATTTGAAGGCCAATCTGTAATGCCTGAATCTCTGCATCGTAGCTCGAGGAGGACTGAAGGGACGTGTGGAAGGCGGTGATAAGAGCTCCAGTGTGGTCCCGGATCAAGCCTCCTCCTCCGGCAGTACCGCTATGGCGATCGAAAGATCCATCGGTGTTCAGCTTGACCCAAAGAGAGTCGGGTCGAAGCCAAACGACAGCTCTGGGCCGAGGGGACCGAACAGGCGGAGGGGGAGCCACCCTGTATCGGTGCGGTGGCGTGCAGCCTGTCCAGTCACGTGCAGAAAGCCTGCCCAACGCTGTGAGGAGCGAAATGTGTCTCTGCACCTGCAAAACAATGTGAGAAAGCAAGAAAGGAATATCCCTATGCTTCGCACTATTCCTTTCCGTCCAGGTGAACCAAAGGATCAGACAAGGAATGAGGAAGCTCACGTGTCTAAAGTGTGCTCTGTGAGAAAAAACTCAGGAGCTCAAAAAAACTGTCTGTGAAGGGTAGGGATATATGAGTCCAAGTAGCAAAATGCTCTCACACTCTCCTCACAATCTCACTCTCTAGAAAAAGGTGGGTAAAGGTCTCGGTCTCATGACGTCCGGTCTCAGAACAACACACACATCGGGCGGGGAAGGAGATCCCCCTCGCATGTAACACAGTGTCCACGGGTATCCGGCGCAAGAGGAGGCGCCAAAGGAAAACAGATATGGTAGGGGTGAAAAGGTCGCTCCAGATGGCTCTGAAGAGAAGATTCGGCCGATCTCTCAGCCTAATCTTCTCCCAAGTCGAGGTAGCAGAAAACACACCCGATGATGTAAGTCTCCACCTCATACCATCCGAACCGTCCCCCGAGATGGGTATCTGCTGGATCCTATCTAATAACTGCTCACTAAAACCCGCCCCGGTGCCCAACTCTCTATCAAGCTTCCCCCTATCCCACGACCCGTCCGTCCAAAGGTCGCGCACTAGCAGGTAGGGGGAATGCGACACCTGCCTATCTCTAGACAACGGCCTATCACCTAACCACCACTCATCCCAGAAACCAACCTCGCCATCCCCCAAAACCCAAAAAATGTGATCCTGGGCGCGCCTACCAACCCTAGTGAGGCGCCGCCATTGTCTGCTATCATGCGCAACCGCCGTCACCCAACAAGGGTGGTTGGCGCGTCTAGAGCAGTACTTGCCGCGAAGGTACTGGGCCCAAAGCGACTTTCCTTCTCTGAAGCACCACCACAACTTGTATGAGAAGGCAGTAACAATATCCCTAAGGCGACGGATGCCAAGGCCACCCTCAGGGAGAGGGCGGCAGATAGAGTCCCAACTCACCCAGTGGGTACGTCTCCCCCTCCCCGAACCATCCTCGTAACCCCAGAAATAACGATCCATGATCTGGTCAATCTCCTCAAGAGTGGACCTAAGGGGGTCGAGGACCATAAGTAAATGAAGCGGAAGGGAACTAAGGGTGCTCTTGATCAGAGCAAGCCGACCACCGAACGAAAGATGTCTATGCGACCGACCAGAAATCCTATCGATAATCCTCTGCCTGATGCCCGCAAAGAGCACTCTCGTGAGGTTGCCCTTATATAAAGGGGCACCAAGGTAGGTAATGAGAAGGTTGCCGTGCGCAAAACCATTGATCTCGTGGACACGCTGAGCCCACCTGTCCGCGCTGGAGGAGGAAAGGGTGAAGGTGCTCTTCTGCACACTGATCAGCTGGCCGGTAACCGAGCTATAATGCTCCAATAGGTGCATAAGCTCGATCAGCCCATCATCATCCGCACGAGTGAAGATGATGATGTCATCCGCATAAGAAAGGTGCGAGAGGGGGGGACCATAGCCACGGGTGCTATATGTCATCTGAGGATAGTCGCGGATAAAGCCGTCAAGGCAGCGAGAGAGGTGGTCCGCCGCAAGAACAAAAAGGGACGGGGAAAGGGGGTCTCCCTGTCTAAGGCCTCTAGATGAGGGGAAAAAATCTGTGGGGCTGCCATTAACCAGGACCGAGAACGTGCAACGCTCCACGCACGCCTCTACAAAGTTGATCCATCGCTCCGGGAATCCCATCCTAGCCAGTGCCTCCCTAAGAAACAGCCACTCCACTCTATCATACGCCTTAGACATATCTAGCTTCAGCGCAATGTTCGGTGCCCGCTTTCAATCTACATGGGAGATATCGTGGATCATCTCCTGGGCCAAAAGTATGTTATCACTAATGACCCGATCCTTGACGAAGCCACTCTGGTTCGGAGAGATGAGGGAGGGGAGGATAGGGGAAAGACGGCCGTTAAGAATTTTCGAAATAATCTTATTGGTCACGTTACACAGACTGATGGGCCTGTAGTCGGACCAAGAACTCGGATTGGGTCTTCTGGGAATCAAGACGACAGAGGTAGCCGTGAAGGAATCCGGCATCCGGTGACCGGTGAAGAAATCCAACACCGCCTCCTCAACATCAGGCTCGACTATATCCCAGCAGACCTGATAGAAGAGGAAAGAGAACCCATCAGGGCCAGAAACGCTGTTGGGATCAATCCCAAAAACAGCATCCCTAACCTCCTCCCTGCTCGGAAACTCACAGAGGTCGACAAGGTCAACCGAAGGAGGGATGGTAGGGAAGAAAGAGACGGTCGGGGCAACGAGGGACCCTCTGTCAGAGGGAAGAGGGTCTGGAAGTGAGCAACAGCCGACTCCCGAATCTGAGACTCCTGGGTCAGGGATGACCCATCAGCTTCAATACTATGGATGTACGACTTAGCACGCTTCTGCCTAACGAAGCCCTGGAAGAACCTAGTGTTTCGCTCGCCCTCTGCCACCCAGGGAACGGCCGCCTTCTGCTTTCGGAAATCCTCCTCCATAAGGAGTCGGAGCTGGTACTCGGCGTGGCAGCGGTGCATCGCAGTCCTATTCTCCGGAGTGGGATCCAGGTCATAGGCCCGCTCAGCCTCCGCGTGCGCACTCTGAGCCGCAGAAAGGCGCTGATGGAGGTTTCCAAAAACATCCCAGTTCCACTGTCTCAACCGACGCCGTAATCTGCTGAGCTTAACCTCGAGATTGCGCATCCCGAAGAGCCCAGTCGGTTGAAGCCAGGAATCCCTGACAGTGTCATGGAAAGAGTGGTGGCGAACCCACATGGTCTGGAACCTAAAGTAAGCGCGGTCGGGAGTGTTCGAGAAGCGACACCTAATGAGGAGTGGTGAATGGTCAGACCCAAATCGAGTGAGATGCGTGACGGTTGTGACCGCAAACACCTTCGACCACGCTTCAGAAACCAAAGCACGGTCGAGCCTCTCTTTGAGGTCGTCCCTAACCCACATGAAGGGCTCACCCTCACATCCAGCATCTATCAACTCACAGTCCGCCACAGTCTAAACAAAGTCCCACATCTCCCGGGACCGGTCCACGCGGCCACCCACACGCTCATCGAGGTGCAGAAAGATGTTGAAATCGCCACTAACCATCCATGGCAATCCCTCCATACTCTCAGCAATCTCACGCAGGGTGTCCCACAGATCGTATCTCCCGACTCTATTACACTTAGCGTAAACCAAAGTGTGTAATGTGGGCTCAGGGAGATGGGCTGCAGAAAGCTCGACATGAAGCACCTGATCGGT